ACACACCTCCTCTGGCATGTCCTCGGCGATGCTCTCTGGGATGGGGTTCCTGGGAGGGAACGTGCGGCAGGCTTCCAGACCCAAACCCATCGGTTGCCCTCGATGAGGTGGAGGTGCCGAGGGGGCGCGGGGAGGCTGTCCAGGAAACTCGGTGTCACTCAGAGTCTTTGCCATCTGCAGGACAGAGCACGACTGATCGTCCAGCCCCCCTGCTCCAACTCCCCCTCGCCTAAAACCCTCTCCAATGACGACTGGGCCACCGGGCCCGGCTGTGGGGATCCTGACCTCGGTCAGGTCCGGATAAAGTGAGCGAGGCTTGTTGAACGGAGCCTCTGCAACCATTTCCAGGGCTCCTTTAGGGAGAGGAGGCGGGGGGAAGTCGGGAGGGGGTCGATTCAGCGTGCTTCCTGTCCCACCGTGTGCCCCCACCATACCAGCACCTCCGTCCTCCTCCGAGAGGCTTTCCTGTCCTGCTGCAGGTCTGGGTGAATGTGGGGGCCCTGAAGGTGCAGAAGTGGGTTTGGTTCGAGCCCCAGATGAGGGAGGGAGGACTTTAGCTGCTGGGGGGTTCGTAGAGGTGGGAGATGGGAGGAGTTCAGGAGAAAGAGCTGCAGCTGATTGGTTGGGAACGCCCTCCAGGATGTAGTAGGCAGGGTTGTTGTAGCTGTTCTTGCTGATGGATGAGTCAGAATCTGAGGTGTCCTGTTTGGGCCTTTACCGCACAAACACAAACAAAACAAACCATTTAAACATTTTCATTTGATTTTCTAAAATAATGCAGCTGCGGTTTATTAGGAGTGTTTAGGACACGAGGATGTGTCTCATGTTTGCACCTTGCAGCAGTTTCCTCTTTGATGCTTCTTTCTCCCTCCTCGCTGACCTTACCCAGCTCTCCAAGTGGTTTACGCACCACAGACTGCCTGCACCAAAATAAACAAAATAAAACAGTTAGCAGACAAATAAAATAGGGAATTCAAGGTGATGAGTGCACATCCTTCCCTCAAGATGCAAACACTCAACTATAAAGACATGAAAGAGCATTTACATGTCTGCGGGTCACAAAATGGTCACAGTGACAGCTTCAGTCAAAGGTTTTATCAGTTTTTAAATCAGATCTGTGATTCTCCTCCAAGTCATTGCAATCATAAACATTTAAACAGAAGCACGGGGTTTTCCTTTGCTGCGTCTTGAAGATGCTTCACATTTCATCCAAAAGACTTCTTCAGTTTTAGCTGACAATTGATAAACGCTCAGGTCGTTGTTTGATGAGCGTTCAAGAGGAAAAAAGAGCAGGCGGGCTCTTTGAGGAGCCTACAATGACAAACACTCTTTAAAGACAGTAATGCTCATGTTTTGGAAAGAGAAGACAGATGAGAAAGGATTTAAAAAGTTAATTAAATAAATAACCATTAGGAAGGAGCTGGCCTCAGGTTCCACCTAACACCTACAACAGTTTTTATTCTCCTCCCGATGTGGAGAGTTAAATAAATCTTGGTTGACAACAAACTAAATGATCGGGTCGGGTCAGTCACCCAACAACAAATCATAACACACAAGTCAGTCAGAGCCAAGGAAGCTTTTAGGTTGAAAAGTCAACCACCTTCAAAACCCAAGACAGAAAGTTTGGTGTATTTCTACTCACATTAATAAAGCTAAAACAAAAAAGTTTATCCAAGAAAAAAAAAATCAAACATTTACATCTAATTTCCCTACAAGAACTGTAACTATAAGACATTTTAAACAAGTGTTAATAGTTCAAAGTTCATGCTCAATAATCCTGGTTAAAAAATAATCACGCAAAGTTCAGTCAGGTCCTCTGGACGGTTTCTGTTTGTTGAAATGTTTCCTCTTTAATCCAGAAGACTTCATCTGTCAGAGGAGCCACAACAAACTCAGACTTATAAATAGCACATTCACAAGCAGAAGTCTTTTAGATGAGAAACATTTCAACAAAAAGAAACCGTCCACAGGACCTGCCTTAACGTTGCTGGAAGTGTTAATAGTGTTTCTGGTAAGTGAACGTGAGGCTGTGTAACATGAATATGAAGAGAACATCTATCTAAACTTAAGTTACAAAAAGTATTGCTTTATATTAAAGAACCATCCTTTATATACCCCTCCTATCTCACTGATCTGCTGCAGCCATATGTCCCACAGTGCTCTCTGAGGTCAGCAGACCAGATGATCTTATTGGTTCCAGGGCCTTCTCTGTTGCAGGTCCAAAACTATGGAACGAGTTACCACAACATGCCAGGCAGGCTCCCTCTCTCAGTTTTTAAGTCTAGTTTAAGAACCTTTTTACCTAGTTTAACCTAGTTTAAGGTCCTTCTCCTACTCCGCTCCTGTTTCTTGGAATATCTTACAAAAAGATTTGAAGCTCTCGACCTTGACCTCTCTAAGTGGCTTTAAGAATCTGTTGGACTCCTGGCAGGGACCAATGCAGACATGTTCCTGTTTTTAGTTTTCTACATTCGCCTTATGATCTAGCTGTTTTTATGTTGCTTTTCTTTTTTTAGCCATCCTATTTATTAAAAAAAAAACAACAAACAAACTGGAGTATGACTTTTTGTGACTGTGTATTGTTGTCGCTGTTGTCCATTGTTGTCATCATTCTTTGTTGAAATCAGGTCTCTCTTGTAAATGAGTCCTCGAGGCTCAATGGGATTTACCTGTATAAATAAAGGTTGAATGAAAAAAAACTACTTTTATTCCCTGGCTTTAACACAGTATGAGCTGATTTTAACCTGTCTGTATTCTATAATGTTAGCCATTTAGTTATCTTTATCTATCTGGATCTATGTATTTTATCCTTTGCCCTTTCTTGTTGTATTTTCCTGTACAGCACTTTGGTTGGCCTTGTTGTGTTTTAAGTGCTTTATAAATAAAGCGGTACGGTACGGTACGGTACGGTATGGTATACCCCGTTTTGCCTTAGAACAGATAATTGGCCAGAGTAAATGTCAGTGAGTTGTTTTAATGTGTTCTAACAGCTTCAGGTTCTCACCTAAAATCTAACACAACTACAAAAGGTGACAGTTTTGCGAAGGTGTTCTGACTCTCGTCAACGCTGCTCCGGCGTTTTCACCTTTACTTCACCACGCGTCACGTGTTTATTAAACTGTTACGAGATAATCTGTGTTTGTGCTAATGTCTTGGCTCATCGGTGGATGAATCCACAGACGTTTGAAGCACTGTACACTAAGAGCAGAAACGAGTAGCATGTACTGACTTGACATACTCATGGCCCACTCTGGATACCATGGTGGATTTCCCTTTGGGTCCGCCTGTCTCATCATTGTCCACACTGATCCACTCTGAAATGCAACAATAAAAAACAGTTTTTAACATTAAATCTGTGGCAAAACTCCACCTCGACAATCATGGCAGCTAATATAATATTTAAAACCTCGTATTTTGGATTGCACTGCTGGTTTCTGTCGTTTAAAGACTTTATTTGTACTCGTATTAGAGTTGTTAGCCTTCAGTCTGTTGATTACCATACAATCTCTCTCTGGTGCCCATCCTTTCAGCAGGGACTCTAACCCTCATGGACCCCCGGATATTTCCCGTTTCCTCGCCTCGATGGGACAGGTATGTGTGGAACTGCTGTGCTGTGCTGCCGATCATCGACTTAAGAGCCAACACACACTCTCCTAACAGTGAAAATCACACACACAAGGTTGTAAGACAACAAGAAACTCCTTCTCTGTCAGCTTCAAACAGGAGTGTCTCTTTACCGTAGGACTCGTATCCATCCACTGATTTGACAGTGAGCAGCAGATGTTGGTCCTGCAGGTACTCAATCTCTGACAGCAGCGGTTTGAGTGTCGTCAGCTGCTTGTTGGACCAACCCACACGCAGGAAGTTGATGTTGTCGCTGTTCTGGCTGTCGTTCTCGTAGCTTTTCTTAAACTCTTCGTGTGTGAGAGAGATACAGTAATGCAGGGAAGAGTGGATGGGGAGAATATGGTGAAAGGAATGAGGTGGGAACGAGAAAGAGGGGAAGAGAAGGACAACATTTCAATCCCATTTCACTCAAAAGTACATGGTGGACAAGAAGCTGAGCATGCAGCGCAGGTCAAAAATGGATACTGACTGTCTGATATGAGGAAGAAGAACAAAGGAAGGAAGGGAGGAGGCAAAAAAAGATTCAGACTCTGATGTATGACATCTGGACTCGAACTCCAGATGTTTTTCTGTGTGAACTTGTGCATGGCTGAATCACAGAAAAGGTGCAAGGCATGTTTGTCTCACCTTCCAGACAGGTAGAGTAGAACTCAATGAAGAACTTGGTCCTGCTCGCTGTCTTCACAATGGCCTCGATGCTCTCAAACTCAATGTACGCCTGCTCTGAGGACTTTGGCAAACCTACAGGGGAAGAAATGGAGGATGGAGGAAGAGAAGTGGAAAAAAAAATTACTAAGAGTCGGTGGGTTTAAAATTAATTACAGCAGAGAAAATTAGTAAGAATCCAAGAGACATTTTGCTCAAATGAGTGATCAGCAACATGTTTTTATTGCCCACTGCCATGAGAGGCTGGTGGTAATCAAACAGTCTGTGGGTCTGTCTCTGCTCATGGATCGTAATGAAACTCAAAGTAATCACTGGATAAACACGTACAACTGATGACTGGGATGGAAGCAGAAAAAACGTTTTGACTGAATGTTTTTCTACACCTGCAGGTTACACAAGCATCATCACATTATCAAACACCCCCCCACCCCCCGACACCCCAAATCCCACACATTCAAGAGCTTTTTCCTACTTACAGGCCACATACCAAAGGGTTTCATGTCAAGAGTATACTGTGTACATGACCATAGTCAAAGTACACAGTATACTGTGTACATGACCATAGTCAAAGAACACCGTATACTGTGTACATGACCATAGCCAAAGTACACCATATACTGTGTACATGACCATAGTCAAAGTACAGTGTACTGTGTACATGACCATAGTCAAAGTACACAGTATACTGTGTACATGACCATAGTCAAAGTACACCGTATACTGTGTACATGACCATAGTCAACGTACACAGTATACTGTGTACATGACCTTAGTCAAAGTACACAGTATACTGTGTACATGACCATAGTAAAAATACACAGTGTAATGTGTACATGACCATAGTCAAAGTACACAGTATACTGTGTACATGACCATAGTCAAAGTACACCGTATACTGTGTACATGACCATAGTCAAAGTACACCGTATACTGTGTACATGACCATAGTTAAAGTACACCGTATACTGTGTACTTAGTCAAAGTACACAGTTTACTGTGTACATGACCTTAGTCAAATTACACAGTATACTGTGTACATGACCTTAGTAAAAGTACACAGTATACTGGATACATGACCATAGTAAAAGTACACAGTATACTGTGTACTTAGTCAAATTACACAGTATACTGTGTACATGACCTTAGTCAAATTACACAGTATACTGTGTACATGACCATAGTCAAAGTACACAGTATACTGTGTACATGACCTTAGTAAAAGTACACAGTTTACTGGATACATGACCATAGTAAAAGTACACAGTATACTGTGTACTTAGTCAAATTACACAGTATACTGTGTACATGACCCTAGTCAAAGTACACAGTATACTGTGTACATGACCTTAGTAAAAGTGCACAGTATACTGTGTACATTACCATAGTAAAAGTACAACGTATACTGTGTATATGACCTTAGTCAAAGTACACAGTAAAAGTACACCTGGACCAACATCATCTGAAGGAAGAGGAGTTTTAACAATTCTTCTGTAGTTTATGTTTCGAGGGGTTGTCAGATATATTTAAATAAACATAGGAAGTCCTTTGCAGAGTATAATTTTACTTAAAATTACATTTTTTTAATTTTATTTGCCAGACAGAAAGATCCCTCCTATAAAATGATTATTTCATTCAAAGGGATTATATTTACAGGATTTCAGCTCATTTGGTCATTTATTATTTATTTTTCTGATAATTTATTAAATTACATTTATCACAGTACAGTTACCTCTCAGTATGATAAATCTTATATAATAAATATAAATGGAAATATAAACAAGTTTAGATCATCCAGACAAACACCTTGTTGCTACGACACTGTAAAATTAATTGAGCAGACATTTATGATAAACTACAAAACACCTGAAACTGACTCTCACAGAGACGAACATCTTTGTTATAACCTGGAACATATAAATATTTGTCTTTATCATTATTATGGTTTAATTATGGTTTAATTACAAGAAGTAAAGCAGCAGATGCAGCCTCACTCACTGTGAGACACTTGAACTTTAATCCCTGTGACATTTTGGAGTCAATATGAATCAAGATGGCTGCCACAGCTAGTCAGTTTAGCTACAACCTTGTAAAGTTTACAGATATCTAACTAAAGTTCAGTGTGGTAGTAGCTGAGAGTCATCTTTAACACATGCAGATCTTGCAAAATGTCTGTTTAAAACTTTGACATCCAATGTGACGAGTCATATGCACTCCTTTAAGGAATGCTGGTTTAGTTGTGTAAAAAAGTGAACACTCAACAATTCACAGATATAATCCATGCGCTTATATCCAACCTGTTGATCGAAGGAGTGGGCGCAGGAAGAAAGGAGATAAAGTCAAACCAGATGGAAGAAATGAAACAGAAGTAAAAAGAAACCAGAAAATGAACTTGTACCTTTTTTAGAGACAAACTGAGACGTCACTCCAACCTCAAACGTAGCAAATACAGGTGAATGGTCGCTGGTCACAATGTCATCAGTACAGCCTTGATAAATAAATAACCAATCACTGCGTTATTAGCCATATTTGTACTTAAAAACTAGCCAAAAACAACTTCTGTCTCACCGTAGGAGTTGCACACAGTGTGAGTTTCTGGGTACGACTTCCACAGGATCCGGTCACACCAAGATGGAACATTAGTCCTCATCTGAGGAACAGAACATACAAGACCCGTCAGGATTATCAGGTGGATCAGTATTCATCAGGAAAGTCTTAACCTCACCCCTGTGGCTTTCTGCTTCTGCCACACGTATGTGTCCCTGGAACCTCGCTCGTAACGGTACGTTGGAGGAAACGAGATCTCTTCCTCCGCTGCAACAAAACAACCATTTTTACCAGCACTCTTGTGAACAGGCAAAAAGTAGAATTTTAAATCTTATTCACAAGTTTCCAGTTATCTTGCTTGTTTTTTCCTCCACACTTTGGAGCAAAAATATCCAGAATTTAATCAAAAATATTAATGACATCTAATGGTGAATATGAATGTTACATTTTGACCATGTAGGAAGTGTTACTAATTGTTCCCTAAAAGAGCAAAGTCCATGCTCAATAATCCAGGTAAAAATCCAACAATGTTCAGTCAGGTCATCTGGACGGTTTCTTTTTTTTGCTGAGACGTTTCATCCTTCATCCAAAAGACTTCTTCAATCTGAGGAACAACCAAACAATCTGATTCCCACAAACAGCATACTCCAAAGGAGTGATACTATGCTGCAACTATGGAGTATGCTGTTTGAAACAGTAACTGAAATGCACCCTGTCAAAATAAGAGAGCTCCTGGATCCTGTTATAGCAGGATCCGGCTCAAATTAAGCCCTGGTTGAGACATAAAAGAGTAAGCTAGCATTGGTGCTCAAGAGTGTGCTGCAGTGATGACGGGCTGTCTCTGTGACCAACTGTCTGCAGGATTTAAAACAAAAGATATCAGAAACCTTTTGTGAATCCTTATCCAGACCTGCAAAATGCTGAAAACAAACTTCTTCTCAGGACCGTGTAAATGTTAGTACATTTTAATAAGCACATCACAAAGTTAGAGTCGAACAAACTGACAACTACTAAGGCTTCGTAATTTATTATTATTTTTATAACCTTTATTTAAACAGAGAAGTCACATTGTGAGACCTGTTTGGACAGACAATAAAAAGTGGTGAAAAATGACACACAGGGTTTGGAGACAAAAAAAATTCCTAACATGCTCTTAACCTCTGGTTAAAGGTTAACAGTGTGACAATGAAAAAAAATCTCGTACACTAGCACATAATGACGCCGACAGTCTGCGGAGGGTGGGGGACGCAAGGGCGGTGAGCAGCCAGAGACAACACACAGAGGCACTGCAGAGTTCAGATAAAATCCCTCGGTTCAAATAGTTCCCTCTCAAAAGCATTTAAGTCTGGGTACTCGAGGCACGAACCAAGCTGTCATAAGGCAAGCAGCCTGATAAGAGTCCAAATTTGCTGCCAATGACTTTCTTGATTGTAGATAAACCAGGAACCAGCCGAATCCAAAAAGCAGGAACCAGTTATCATAAATCCAATTATATATGTCCTTAAAATCCATCAATGGCAGCAGAGATAGACACATCACGTCTTCAAGTCGATGAGATATCCAGCTGTGTGCATGCCAACAGGGCAAATCAGCTCGCCTAAAGCCTGTCTTCTCTTCAGAGAAATGTTATTAATTGTGCTGAGAATTATGATTCTGAAGATTTGTAGAGAGAGAGAGGCTCTAAAGCAGTTTCACAGACAGTACAGAACAAAGAGCAAAGAGGAGAGGGAGAGGAGGAGAAGACGTCCGCCCTTGACAAGAGAAAGTGTTGAAGTAATAATTCTCTTCTCGGTGTGAAGACAAGTTAAAGTAGGATTTTCTGCATGTGTGAAGATTTTTCATCTTATTTGGTGACTTCTATTTGTGGGGGTGCACATTCTTTGTGATACACAGCAGTCCATGAAAGCCACTGCCCCAGTAATAAAGCTTTAACGAAGCAAATATTATGTGATGAGGAACAGATGAGGAGTCAGATTGAAAAGGCAAATAAAGGTGTTTTGTTCGTTTTATTACCGTATTTTTTGGACTATAAGGTGCGCTTAAAATCCTTTCATTTTCTCAAAAATCGACAGTGAGCCTTATGTGTTAATTCTGGTTGTGCTTACTGATCTTGAACAGATTTTATGTGGTACAACTGAACAACGTTGAGAGCTATTGTGAAAGAGTTGAATAAAATTTGACTTATCCGACTGTTTTGTTCTGCTTAACGCACCTTATGCATGAAAACAGACCCGTTCACTGATATTGTGCCTTACAGTCAGAAAAATACAGTAATCAGTAGCTGACGCAAACTGTGATATAAATGAGAAATTCTGCGTTCCTTTAAAAATACGCTTGTAAAATAATCAAAACTATTCAAAACAGAAAATAGCAAGCGTCCAAGTTTCAGCTATTTTAGATCACAATTTATATTTAAATTTTAAATACACTGCACAGCTCACAGCCGTTTCCTCCGATTCCTTTCTTTTAGTAAACTAAAGACAGCAGTAGTTTTGGTGAACCAAGTGAGAAGCAGCAGAGCTGAGGTGATGATTTTGGCAACTGTGAGTCATAACGTAAGCTGCAGTTGTGAGACCACAGAAACATTTTTAGAAACAGGAACTTTCTGTTTGTAATAAGATTTTACAGTTTTAGAATATTATTTCCCTACATTTAAACAAATCCTGACCAAACAGTTTAACTGTAGGGAAATTTAAAAAATAGTGACTTATACCTTCTTGTGTACAAACTATAAAAGGAGCCAGTGTTGACCCAGGCGTACTAACCAAAACGTAGAAAGACTTTATTCTTCTCCCTCTCCAGGTTGAGCTGGTCCACTTTTAGCAGCGGCTCAAATTCCTTCCTGTTAATGTAATTTAAAATTTCCTGCAGAGTCAGAAACAAAGAAGCCAGGATCAGAAACTGAGGTTTTATCCAGATTAAGAGCAGGTCATCATTTTGTCTTCTTGCTCCGTCTCACCTGAATGTCCATGTCCAGCCTGTAGTTGAGGTCTCCTAACCAGAACAGATGTGTGAAACGCAGTGAAATGTCAAAGGAGTTCAGCTGTTTGTCTCCTAGTGATAGCAGCCGTAAAATATCAAGGTAGTTCTGGTTCCTCCTGGATGAGGCACAAACAAACGAGAAATATAATCAAATGTTTTTTTTATTTTTTATTCAGTTTAACAGAAAAACAAAGCAGCCCAGTAACCTCATATAAAGCAACAGAATGATACAAATTAGTGTCTCTTTTGTATCTCTAAAGGTCTAAAAAAGCTGTCAATTACGTTTTTTTGTAAAGACTTTTTTCACATCCTTTTTTCCATCAAAGCAGTTAAACTATTCCACTCCAGTCCATTAGGTGACAGTAAAGCTAAAGACAACAGCAAGAATGGAAAAGAGTCATGGCGGCAGCTGTGAGCCACAGTTTAGAGCTCTGGAAATGAGACCATTAATTCAATGATACAAAAAAAGCAAAAAATGGACCCACAGAAGTCATTTCCAAATGTCTGACATGTTAGATCTAAAAGATGTAAACACATTTTTACAAACTAGAATTATTCAAAGAGATTAGCTAAAATAATTTGATCCAACAAAAAAAATTATACCCATAAAAGTTTATTTTGTTTTCAGAACCACTGCAGTTCTTACAGCAGTGGTTCCCAAAGTTTGAGGTCTGGATGCCACTGTGGGTCATGAGCGTTTGTAAACTAAATTATGCCAGAACACAAATAATGGAAGGGGCGCGGGGGGGGGGCCCTCCCCCAGAAAATTTTGAATAAAATAGATGTCTTTTCCTGCATTCTGGTGAATTTTAAAAGGTGGTAAAACATGTACGTTTACCTACACGTCTCTCTCCTCGTGTGAACAGAGCGCACTCCACTGCATCCAACCCCCCCCCGGTGTCAAGTACTATCTCATTACTACTGCCATTATGAGCTTCAATTCTCGGTTTAGTTGAACAATGAGAAGATTTTCTTTTTTCTTTAATAAATAATCAAAATTTTATTAATGACCCATTTAAACTTTAAAACAGATTTGTAAATTAGTTGTGCTGTTTAATTATATTTTTGCGTTTTTAATTAAATTTCCCAGGACTGTAGTTTTAGGGGCAGAGAGTTTTTTTAAGGGTAGAAGCAGAAATGGCTCTGATGATATTAGGAACCTTGTAAGTGGCTGTTATGTTTAAAATGAGTGTTTATGTAATTATTTTCAGATTATGTGTCTAAAAAAGGTAAAGGTACTAATATAGGTTTTTCGTTCAAGGCAGTCATATTTGGTCATAACTTTATTATTAGTAAGCCTGACAGCTACCAGATTCAAGCAAACAGTTACCATAACCTACCCTGTCAAAATAAAAGATTTCCCAGATCCTGTTCCGGCGGGATCTAACTCAAATTAAGCCCAGGTCATGTGACACCAAGTGGGGTCCTGAGATAATCAGTTGTCAAGCAGCATTTAAAAAAATGGATTTTGGCATATTTTCACCATAATGGTGGCAAAAAATAAAAACGGTGGCCATAAATTAATAAAATAGGGTATTGAAGTTGTTAAGACTGTTTGTGCCTTAGTTTAATAGGGTTATTAGAAAAGTTGGTACCACTTTAAAATAAGGCTCTCCTTATAAATGGCTACTAAATAGTTTATAGATACAGATATAGATTATTAATTGCTCTACAAACACTTTAAAGATCATTAATAACTGTTTATTATGCATTAATTAAGGGCAATAAAGACAAAACTGACCAGTTTCTTGCCAAGTAGTGAGTCAAATCTGCCACCAACACATTTCATCTAGAGCTGTTATATTAAATATTTCAGTCCAAGTTACTACCTTGTAAGCACAATAAGCATTTGTAAACCTATTTCTTTAGCATATAATATTGTACTTTATCAATGCATTAAGTATCTACAACTAATATTATATCCTAAAAAAAATGGGCTTACAAATTCTTATTGCACTTACAAGATAGTATTTTAGTCAGAAATGTTTAATATAACAACTCTAAATTAAATATATATGTGAACAGATCTGGCTCACTATTTGGCAAGAAACTGGTCAGTTTTGTCTCTGTCACCCTTAATTAATGTATAATAAGCAGTTATTAATGATTTATAAAGTGTTTAAAGAGGAATTAATAATGTATATATAAGCTATTTATTAGCCATTTATAAGGGGAGCCTTATTGTAAAGTGTACTGAAAAGATTGTATGTTTAAACCAACAACTGATGGAGTCACAAGATTTGATGATGTCATTTTGTGGATCAGAAATAAAAACTTGGGAACCAGTACAGAGCACAGACTTGTAGACGGGTGTGTGAGGGAATGCAGGTGATACCTGGCAATCTTCTCATTCCCTGATGTTAAGTGACAGTTCACAAAGCCAAACGATGTGCCATTGAACATGAACGACACGCCCACTGCTCCCTTGTTGCCTGGACAACAGAATAAACATCCACACTAAACAAAGAGCTGTATATGTCTAAGGAAAGATGCTTTCTTGTAAAATAAATTGACCATGTGATCAGACTTGTTGTTCCGACAACAGTTTCAATTGTTCCGTTATTCCCTTTAGAATAATTACGGACAACAATGAGTTATTGTTACCCAACGTGTTCGCAATCCCCGTCTTGACACTGGACATCCCCACGTGGCTGATCCTGTTCTCATGCTCTGGTTTTACCAACACAGCAAGTTTAATGTTCCATAGAGTCTGCACCGCAATCTGACAAAACAAAACAAGAACTTCTAGTCATAATTTCTGCATTCAGAGCACATAAAAATAACTGTTTTAAACTCATCACCTCCATTTTTTCCTTTATACCTTCCTGTGGTTTAAACAGATTTGGAAGATAAAAACAAGCTTGTGTAACAATGGTTTATTTCCAGTTGTCTCCTCACCGGCTTATAATCCAGTTCTGTCTGTTCTTTTAGTGTGGCACGTAGCGACTCCACCCATTCTCGATCACACACGGAGTTTTCCTGGGTTCCAAACACGTAAAGGTCATGAGGGATTGTGACGGTCATCTCATCCAGAGTTTTCCCCAGGCCGCGACACAAAACCCACGATGCCACAGACTTTGGTGATGGAACCGAGCCTGAAGACAAGTAAAGATTCAAAGCCGCCTGTTCTAATCACATACTTAGCACACTTAATGAATTAATGTTGCAGAACGTAGCTGGGTGTCTGACCCATATTCCATGTGCCTATGAAGAGGGAAATCATGTCGGGCTCGTCTTGGTTGGAATGTTTGTTCTTCATCAGCTGCAGCAGCTGACAAAATGCCTCCCGCTTCTGAAACAAACACACAAACCAGTGAGCAGGAAGCCATCAACGAGGTATGTCTGACTCAGCCTCGTTTGCATGTTGACTTGAAAATTACTGGAAATTTTAAAACACTGACGTCTAAAATCGTTTCTCATTTGAGACATATTTCACATAGTTTGCTCTTTTGAAGTTTTTCTTTTGACTTTAGCTGCTTTTTTCTCCACTGATTATCAGTTCAGCTCAAGTTTTTCCAAATGAATGAATGTTTTTGTGTTTGCTCCTTAAGCCACGTAACGTTGACCTATGAACTATTTAGGAATAAAAAGGCTCCTAAACTCAAGGGATGAACCAGTGTTGTTCACTGGCATACAGTAGACGATCAGCTGAAGAATGATGGTCTTTCAGGACCTGTATCAGGTCTTTGCTAAATCTTCTGGGCCCTAAACTCTGGAACAATCTGCCCATCAACATTCGACAGGCCACTTCAGTCTCTTCTTTTAAATCTCTCCTGAAAACTCACCTGTACTCATTTAGTATTTCTTTGTTTCTGACTGTGTTTATGCCTTTTGCTTTTATTCCTTGACATTTAACACATGGTGATATGATTTAGTGTTTCATTGTTTTCCAATTATGTTTTGTGTTGTTATGCTTTTATTCCTGATGCTGTAATTATATCTCGTTAATTAATTTTTTTCTGTTCAGTGCCCTGAGACGACTTCTGTCGTGACTTGGCGCTATGTAAATAAACTGAATTGAATTTTTATTTGATGCTGTGATCCTTTTGTTAAGCACTTGGTAACAGTTCCTGTTTTAAATGAGCTATATAAATAGATTTGACTCGACTCGACTTTATGGAGAGCCATTTAATTCAAAATTAAATAAATAAATAAATAGTGTTATTAAAAAAAAATACATATTCCAAAAAATAAATAAATATTTAAAAATTATTTTAATGAATATTCCATTAAATAAATAAATGTTCCCATGAAATAAAACATTTAAATAGAAATGTTTAGGTTTTTCCCTTGAGATTTATTTTTATTTATTTCAAGATTTATTTTTAATTTCAACATATATTCATTTATTTACTTAATAATGGAGTTTCATTTTGTGACACTTGTATTTTGTAAAGCTACTTTACATATTTCAGGGGCTTTTATTTTTAAACCCTGTTTTTCCATTTTAAGCACTTTTCATTTCATGTTCTTATATTCAAATGAGGAGGCGGGGTTTTCTCTGTGGGGCGGGTCTGGTCAGGATTAGACTGGCACTCCAATCGTTTTTGACCAATCACAGCAAAGTATTCCGCCCCCCCTGAGCTTGCAGCACATTCAGTTCTCTTCTTTGATCCGGGGTTGGAACACAGGGATTTATTTTAGCCTGACAGAGTCCGTGAAAAAAACATCCATCCATTCATCCATTATCTTTTACCTGCTTCTTCCTATTTGGGTCGCAGGGGTCACTATATTAAAATTTTAATTTATATTACATTTACATCCCGCTTTGTAATCCTGGGCGTGATTTATTTGCGATGTGGACACGGAGTGGAGCGGGTCTCCTTTCTGCTGTGAGACTGACAGCTGTCAGGGCTTGGGGAAGTGGGAGGGGCTTATGGCATGCTTTCAAATGTAGTCTTCAAAGTCTCCAGTAACACAGAAAAAAGTCTCTAGATTTGTCGCTAGTCGCTTTAAAAAAAAAAAAAGAGTCACTTGAGGGTTCTGAAAACTCGCTAAATAAAGCGAGAAAGTCGCCAAGTTGGCAACACTGCAGCCATGTCCGCTATTGCGCTCCAGCCCGTGTGGAAACGTTGTGCTGCACATTGGTTCCTCTTCAAAAAAAAAAAGGGCCTGCATGTGTGTGTGTGTGTTTTAGCGTGAGAAATACAAAGTGTGCTGTGCACGTCATGAAATGCAGGTGTCTCACTGTCAATGCATGAGACTTGAGAGGCCATTGTGTATGTTATTTTTGATTTAGTTACCGATTTGCCCAGCCTATAAAACTCATGGATGGGCTGCATTGAGACCGGTCAGGTCCGATCACATTGTTTTTCATTCAACCTTTAATGTAAACAGGTTAATCCCACTGAGCCTCAGGGACTCATTTACAAGAGAGACCTGATTGTTAGTTATGATGATTTGACTAGACCTGCCCCACAGAGAAAACCCCGCCCCCTCATTTGACTATAAGAACATGAAACGAAAAGCGCTTAAAATGGAAAAACAGGGTTTAAAAATAAAAGCCCCTGAAATATGTACCACAAAATGAAACTCCATAATTAAATAAATAAATGAATAAATCTTGAAATCAATAAAAAACAAATCTTGGGAAAAAACTAAACAGTTCTATTTAATTTATTTCATAGGAACATTTATTAATTTAAAGGAATATTTATTAATAATTTTTAAATAACAATATTTATTTAATGTTGAATGCAATGGCTCTCCATATGACTCGACCTTCTTTCGTCTTAAAGACATGACTGTCAGATGGTGTTCACCAGCTGTTGTCTTTAGGCCTCACTTGTCTTTCTCTTGCCCACGTTCCATCACAAAGCCTGGAAAACTATCAGTCAAGACCATTTGTAAAAAATACAAGAACATCCGGCTGTCTGAAAACAAATCATAACAGACTATATAATATAACGGGGTGTTTGAAAACTTTTGCACCTTAGGGTTTAAATACAGTTTAAATAATTTAACAGCTCTACCATACAACAGTTGAATAAAAGGGTTTGAGAGAATTTGTGTGATTAAATGTGTACGAGCCTTGGCACTGGCAAAGATGAAGTCTTTCCTTTGGCTCTTGTCCTTCTCCTTCTCGAACACGATGCCCAGTTTATTCTGAACCCGCTGAGACTTGATCAGCTGACGAACTGGAAGAGATGGATAGACAAGAGTCAGAGGGTCAGAGATGAGTGTGAAGGAAATAAAACAGCTTGAGGGACTGACTGAGGAGGTTTCATAAATACGTGTAAAGACTTGGAACACAAGAACTGGACTGAGACTTGATACCAGAGGTGTCTGCGTCTTTGAATGACTTGGAATGTTTGTGAGGACAAAACACCCTGACTGGAACACTTGTAGTGTTTGTGTGTCAATAGTGCGAGTGTGTAATTCTTACTTTTGTCATGAGTAAAAGTGGTCCAGTCCTCCTGGTTGTCCTTCACCTTCTTCATCACCACCAGCCTCCCTCCCTCCACGTCCACAGATAAAGTGTACTTCTGACTCTTTCCGATCTTTGTCAGCTCTGCCAGGTAAACATCAAGCTTCACCTGGGATAAACCACACAAGGAGGATTTCAACACACACACACTGAGAAAACACTGGTGTGAAACTGTTCAAAGTACGTGTAAATATTTGTCAGCATCATTTTCACAGCCTCCTCTAGTGTTGGCACAGTCGGGCATACGGTCTACATTTGTGTCAGCCAGTGACAGAGCTGACTCTGACTCGTCGTCCTACAGTGTTTGTGTTACTTTTAGATGCACTAAGCTTAAAAACTTCTATTAGATTTAGGGGAGCGGCACAAATCCAAAAGTCCACTGCATGACTGGCTTGAGGCTCTCGTTTTGTTTTGTTTTACCGGGGCTTCCATCTTCTTTGTTCTCAGAGTTTTCTAACGATCAATTTAATCACACTAATTTTAAAGCACTGCAACTATCTAAAGATATACAGTAAAACTACTAACAAACCAAAGTTACTCAAACTTGGCTTAGATTTTGTGCTGAGCGTTTCAGCTCATGCATGATCACGGTTATGTCCAAACTGACGAATACCTCTTTGTGACTGGATTTTATTAGTTTTGCTCCTACATGCTGAAAAAGGCTGAGTAGCACAAAAACACTCAGCTCTCTGCCGTTTATTACAACTGTTGTTAGTGCACAAAAACTTTGGACTGCAGCCGCCTCTAGTGCGACTTCACATT